CCCAAACAAAAAGTGTAAAAATGAAAGTTTGGAGGCCCCCTTTCCGAACCCGGGCCTTTTTAATTTAGACCAAAAATTTTTTTTTTATTTTTGTGACTTTAGCAAGGGGGGGGGGGGGGGGGGCACCCCCCTTTTTGTTGGCATTTTATTTCCGTATCTGACCTACAGACTACACCCCCCCCCCCCTCCCCCTTTCTGAGGTTGTAACTTCTTATCATCACCCAACGAGGTCTGCTAATGTTCAAAGAGGCGCAAAAATACTTACATTGGAATCTCAATCACTTCTCAAAGCTGACTTGCAGACTCTATCTATGCAGTGCTTCTTCAGTCAGCACTCAGCACTCTCTCTCTCTCTCTTGAACATTGAACACTGGAAGTTTTGTTTACAGTCGAGCGGAAGAGTTTTCTTTTAGGGAGTTAACAATGGTATCATTTGGTAAACTTTGACCTCCCCTGCTGAACTCTCATTTCATCCGTCGAAAGTACAAGCAATCCAATACATGATAGCGATAAACGCACGGAAAGCAGTGGATACACTATTTAAACTACGGTTCATAGCCGTAGGTTAAGAAAAAAGGTTTTCGTAGTATTGAAATATTTGAATAAGGTGAAGTTTGATGATATTTCTGTCAGTTTGAGGAAGTTGTTTGCGCTAGCATCATGATAGGTGGTTTGTGGGCGTTCGTGAAAAGGCACAGGCGAAAATTCGTCTTCCTTGGATCTTTTGTTGGTGGTAAGTCTTGTTTTTTATGTTTTTTTAATTCCCCGGAGTTGATTTTCAAGAAAAATCTTGGGAGGAGTTCCGCAGAGGGCTGGCACTCATTGTGACAAGGGTTAGGGTTTAAGTTTTGGCCACCTCTATTCTCACCCGGTGCAGGCGAGTCTTGTGGCTATTCTCACCCGGTGCGCGTTCACCAAATTTTGCGTTCACCCTAAACCACAGAATTCTACACTGTGATAACAGAAAAATTGTAGAATTCTGTGCAGTGAACAAACGTTCCATTACAGCTGTAGCCTACTAAAAGCGTACAATTTTGTGTGGGCAGTGGAGAGAGAGAGAGAGAGAGGAGTAGCGCGAGAATTTCCCGGGCAAAACAAAATGCGACCCGCGTAGTTCGGCTCGATTCGAAAAGTTAAATAGCCGTAGCATCTTTGTAGACAACCAAATTAATTTACTTTTGCGTTTTAACATCATTTTTTAACTTTGTTTTGGTCAATTTGATCGTCCACACCGATAGACAGTATTCAGAAAGAGACAGAGAGAGAGAGAGAGAAGAGGGGAGGAGTTGATCTTGCGAGAACTTCCGGGCGGGTGAGAATAGCCACTTTCTTAAGTTTTATAGGCCTCGTAAGGTTTTTAAGGCCGTCGTTCGAGTCCGAATAACATTTTTTCATATTCTTCGGACTCGAGTCCGAATAAAAAAAATTCTTATTCAGACTCGAGTCCGAAATATGAAAAAATGTTATTCGGACTCGGGTCCGGAAAAAAGGAAGTGTCTTCGTTCTATATATCTAATGTTCAGGGCTTTCCATTTTCCGCCATTTTTTAGTTTCCCCCACACCTTTTCTGCCGATCTGATGCCCGCCGCCTCATTGATACGCCCCCCCCCCCCCACACCCCCCATGTTTTCCACTTTCTTTGTTGTAGAAAAAGGTAAAATTGAAGATTAGCAGACCACCTGGCACCTGCATATTATTTATGAGCTGTGTAAAAAAAAAAGACTGATTCGTTCAAATATACACAAGCCTGTGTCATCTCGATTGTTTACCAAGAAAAAGTTGTGTTGCTGTGTAGAGCTGAGCATACGGCAACTTTTGATTCCATAGACCAGCGCACAATTTATTGCGTAGATCTACGTCAAGACTAGCTTATTATTGTATTAATGATCAGTTGCCGGGGGAAAAAAGACTGACGCGTATGCGACGTTCTACGCCCGGACCGCCGGACCGATAGTGCCGCCCCCCCCGACACGCACACAGCCACACGTGTGCAGGCCGCCCATCCGACCCCGACACACGCTAACGAGCCATCTTTAATTGCTTCTGATGACCTCTTGACAAATAAACATTTATTAAAAGCGTTATAACTTTTCAGGCCGGCCTCAAATTCATCATTATAAGATTTAAAAAAACCTCGGCTCCTGCTCAAAACGCCATTTTGCCCGAAGCGATCCCGGTCTCTACCCAGCCTGAGGCGAGTTACGAGTGAGGCAGGACAGGAAGCCGGAGTCACCAGTCACAGGAAGTCGGAAGTCGGAAGTGATGTCATGCTGGACAAGAATCAGAGTCCGAATAACATTTTTTCGTATTCGGACTCGAGTCCGAATAGTCACTTCGAAGGTTTAAATATTGGCAGGGTAATTCAGACAGGGTGCCCATTGTGGATGGGGTCT